GGCGGGAAGAAAGGAGTAACCACCTGTGTTAGCCTTCTTGTTTTGATTTAGAGATTTTCATTTCTGAATGTATAAAGGCTTATTGAGACGAGTTTATTCAAAGCAAACCATTTCTTACTTAATAGGAACAGTCAAACTTGAAAGCATTCCTGCTGCTTCTTTGGCCCCATTGCCCACCATATTCATCAGCAGTAAACTATGCCTTGATAGAAATCCACAGCCCCACACCCTTCATGAAGTTCTAAAGTTATCCGGAGACAGTGTCTTGATAATGTTAAGTGACCTGAACAGCCCACAGAGGAGTTAGCTTCTTCTGGGCCTCTTCAGCCAAAGTTAGTGCAACTGCAACTGCTCCTTCTATTCATTAAGTTGGTCTCCTTCGCTTTGCTAGTTTACTTCCTGCTGAGAGTAATTAGGTTTCTTATATAATAATAATTCCTTGTATTTAGATGCAGCCTTTCTCTAAGGACCTTAAAGTACCTCTCAGACATTAGCTCATCTGTTCTTCTACCACAATTGCCTCATGAGATAGGTGCTAATTATTCCCATTACAAAGACCAAACAACTAAGGCTTACCAGAAAGTGGTTCTTACCCTTCACCCCCAAGGTAACACAGTATCAGTGGAACAGCATAATGTTCACTCCTTTACTAAACATAACCCTCTTCTTGCACTATGATAGAGAAAAATCACAGCATCATTTCACCCTTCATTCAGTGCAAAGAGTGTTAAACTGTGTGGAATAAATAGCCTTGTCTAACAGTTTAAGTATCTGCAGAAAGTAAAAATAGGTAATTTAGACTCTGCCAGATGCACTCCACATCATTTAGAGCATTAGAATGTGTTTCAATTTTCAATATTCGCTCTGATCGCTCTGCATAGGCTACCTCTGCCTTTCTGGAGTTGAGGTCCTGAACCTTTTTGTATTCCCCCCTTCTCACAGCACTTGTCACACAGCATATGCTCAGTAATTGAGGGAAATAATTCTTTTTCTCTTTCCTCACTCAGAAAAGGAAGAGTAATAAAAAATATATATCAACCTCAGAGTGGTAAATGTAATCCAAAAGTTGTTACACATGGAAAGTAGACTTGCTCAATAAAAATTTAAAACTAAAAAATTGAAGCCAATTGTGATATTAAAATGAGACCTGGCCACCAACAGAATTAAAAACCATTTACTGGTCAGGTTTCAACACATTGAAGTCACATCAAAAACAGGTCCTGAAATAAAGATGTTATTATAGTTGTTTTCTGCAGTTGCCATTTGCTTTCCTGTCTTGATACGATATTAGAATCCTTTAATTTTTCCTTACCTTTTTTCCTTATGTTCTTACCTTTTGTCTTTTTCTGTTTGAATTAAAATAACCCATTACACAGAGCCAGTACACTAAAACTAGTATTTTTAAAGACCAAAAATGTCTTTTGAATAAGTCAATAGCTGTTTATCTCATTGGAAATACTTTTAAGACAATGAAATGATTTCATGATATTAACAGGACTTTTGTTGGGTAAACCTGTTCCTGAACAATTTCTATGTTGTTCTGTGAAGCCATAGAAATAGAAATAACAAATTGGCACAGGAGCCGGCAGTGTCTGGCACATGACGCACAGAAAACAATGACAGTGGGCCCCAGATTGCCTCTCCTGAGTGGATTGGCAGTCAGACTTCTAAGACTCTCTAAATTCTTTCTCTTTACAACTTGAAATTAATATTGATAGTGATGGAATAATATTTCATTGAGTGGATATCTGCAGTCCTTTTCTGCTCTCAGTTTCTGTGATTCCAGTGTTTCCTTATTACCTGTTTGCATTTGTTAAAAGTTATGTAGTATAATCTGTGGTCTGATTCCAAGTTGCCCCCATGGTGCATTAAATGTTTCTGGGCATGTTAAACTGGTGTATTTGCATTTTACTGCCAGGAGGTTGTGCTATAAACAATGGGGTTGAGACACCAGCCTGAGCCAGGGGATGAAATTTTATTTTAAAATCTGAAATGCTGTGTAAGCATTTAAGGTATGAATCGGTAATTGTTTCACAACAGCTTCCATTAGATATGGTTTATTTGTAGTCCATCCTCTTTTCAAGGATCCAGGGAAGTGTTAACACACTGAAGCGTACTGCATATCATTTACATTTTTAAACCAGCATTAAAGGAAAATGACCATACTCTTAAGACTTCTTAATATTGGAATGGACTTTATGCCTCTGTCCATGGAGAAAACACAATTCTAAATTTTTCATTTGAAAACAAGAAAAGAAACCTTCCCGTTTTGATTAAGGATTTGAATAATTCTGAAACAGAAAAATACCATTAAAAAAAGAAATACCATTAAAAAAGAAAAGTCTGATTCTAAGATTGAGAACTCTCTTTTTATCCGTAATGAATTCAGTAAAATACAAACTTTTAAAAATCATCTGTCTAATTTGAGATTCGAGATCATCAAATTCTGTCTAAATATTTTGTTTTAACTTCTAAGCTCATTATGGTCTCTTTGTGTTAACTTGTATTAAAATCTGTCAGCTATGACTGGTCTCATAAGCACAGTCAGCGGACCAGAATAAGTTAATTATTTACTTGTGTCACTAGTGCTCTTCATCTAATGAAATGCACAGCTGTGTCAGATCTGCAGTTGGATGTGTAGCTTCCATTGTTCCGCAAGTCAGCAGAGGGTAGAAGCCGCAGTGATGGAGAGCCCTCAGTTCTTTCTGCTGTTCTGGCTTTCTGTGTCGATTTCATGGATCTTTTATCATTCACTTTCACACAAAACAAACAACACAGGGCTGTCTGCTATGGGAACCATCTTGGCATATAAAAGGGTTTTCAGAGCCTAAAGTAATTTTAAGTTAGCTAAGATTTAATTTTTGGCTTACAGGTGCCTTGATTCAGATATAGCCAAAGCAGTTCCTATAATGGAATGAAAAAATCAGAAAGCTACGTATATGTATTTTTTAACAAAATGTCAGAAAAGGGCTGATAAGAAAACAACTTCCCAAAATGAAACTCTATACTAAATATTAATCAGATTTCAAGCAAAGTTATTAGAAACTCACAATTCAGGGGAATGAGCATTTTTCATTTTAATAACATAATGTTGAATTTGCTTGATTAAACATGTCAGTTGAAACTAAAAACACAAAATGCAAGTCATCTGTCCATACCCTCCCCCAGTATATGTACGTCATGCTTCCTTGGTCAGTTTCTGTACCTCCTGCCCCTCGTTCCCACCTTCTCTTGTTGGAGGGTGGACAGGCAGCTTCCTCCTGAGCAGACGCCAGCATCCCCCTGTGAACTGCTGCATAAGGGGTGCCGAGGTTTTTCTTTGGTTTTGTTTTTAAGGGGTGTAGCTGAACCCTCCATCTCCTGACCAGCCAAAATTACATTCTCACCCAAGCACGTCCCGAGACCGGCCCCTTTAGGAATTGCCGCTTCTAACATTTTGTTCACTGTTAAACAATGTTGTTGTCGGTGCACCTAGATTTACAATTTGATCTCTTTCAAAGTAGATTTCCCAGTAGCCCTAGGGTTTTGTCAGATAATTTCAGTGTGGATAAGATGGATTTTGGAGGGAAGAAAAAAGGGTCACACACTCTGCTTGATTTAGATTCTAACACATTGTAACTGAATTTGAAATAAAGTGAACTGAATGATTGTTTCTGTTTTTCATGTAGGAAAGCATACATCCTTTATAGTAAACAATACCATTTCAAGCAAATAGCCAATTAAAGGAACTACATACATGCCCTAGAATTCAGCTCCACAAACCTAATAACCATTTTACTTGGCAACCACTAGAAGTCAGACTATTAATAACTGATATTAAGTAGGCAAATGACATTCTTTTCCTTTAGACTTTAGCTGTTAATGATTACAACAAATCACATAAAATTTTATTTTAAAGTAGTTTGAGTATGTCGGAGTCAAACTGAAGAATGAAAAATTTGAGAGTGGTTTCTTTTCAATAGGTGCAAATGTTTAATAACTTTACACAAGGGGGGAAAGAATTTTATCTTATTACAAATATAAAAGCATTTTCTTAGTCCAATGCTATTGTATGCTAGTTTTCTGATTCTAAATAATGGAGATTTTAGTTAATTATCTAAATTCTATTCCTACTCCTCCTCTAAGAAAAAGAAATCAGGCGAATTAAAAACTATTTAGCAACACAATCCCCTACAGGTCAGAATAATATTAAGGGAGTAGTACTAAAGTACAGTTAATTTAAGAGAATATCAGGAGTGCATAGAGTTGGTAGGTTTTTGTTCTGTTTTCATTCTTAGAATTCCATTTCTAATTCTAGTCTTTTTTTCTAAGAGTGATTTGGCATTTAATTTTCTTGTTCAACTTTACAAGTTCAATCAAAGATCACTTTTCTAATGTGCTGTAAGCTATAGGAATTAAAATTCCTTCAGGCAGTTTAGACTCAACCATGGAAGCCCTGGCAAAAAACAGCCCACCAGCCAGAGCTCTACAGCCAATAGGTAGACCTGTTAGCACATTAGCCACACACGAATACTTGTTGTCACAGTTTTTTAAATCCATGTTTTAAGTATACCTCTCATTCGATCACTTCTGTGTTTGGTGGTCAGAGAACTTGGATTCCTGTAATTTGGGTGTAGAAATTAGCAGATCACGAACTCGCTGATGACAAAACTGCTGCTGACTTAAAGCTTCAGGGACATCAACAGACCGAGGGCCCAGTGAAGTCTCTACTTTTCAGTCTCCATGGCACGGGAGGGTGGGCAAGCAGCCTGACAGCACCATTGTGTGCCATGCCAGCAGGACAGTACACAGGCTGCAGTGCCTTTCTGCAGGGAGAGTCATTTTTGAACTGTTTGTTTAGCTGGATTGTTGGAAATTGCTTTTGTTACTCTTGATAGGGACCATGGGGAAGGTTTTAGAACAGTGGAAATAGAGATAGCAGCAGGGAGATCCCAATTAAGTACTGTATTTTTCCTCTCTGCTGATTTGCTTTACATGGCATGAAATCTTCTCTCCCCCAGGTGTTTGTGGCTTGATCGTCCCCCAGGAAGACATGCCATTTTGTGATTCTGGCATTTGTCCGGACATCATAATGAACCCACACGGCTTCCCATCTCGAATGACGGTCAGTTATCTTTAGATTTTTCGGAGATGCTGCCTTTAAGGAAGAAAATATGCAGTTAGTTTAGTTATAGTGAATGGAAGTGATGGGACCCTGAAGCTGATTTTAAGAAAGAGCCGTTTGGTCGCTTGCCAGATAAACAGGTTCCTGGTAGCCCCTGACAGTTCTGGGCCACTCTTCTCTACAGGGAGAATGAGCTTGTCTGCACTTCCCTTCAAGAGCAGAGACTTCTGAGTGATGAATTTATCCCTCAGCAAGGAAAGTTCCTTGTATCAAACCTCAGTGGATCTCCCTTTTGGGGGTTATTCTTTGAAGTCCTGGCCCCACCTCTTATCTGTTGTGTGGCCTTGGTCCAGTTGCTTAACCTCCCTATACTGCAGTTTCCTCATCTGTCAAATGAGAAAATAGTAGTACCTGTATCATGGGATTAAGAGGTATAAAATTAGATCAATACATGTCAAGCTTTTTCAACAGAATCTGTCACAGTACAAGATCAATAAATATTGCTGCTATTAATTTATTAATACATAAATTAATTCACTATTATTAATAGTAGTAGTCTTAAGCCAGAGATAAATCACCAAAGAAATTCTTACGCCACAAGGAGGTACTCACATAATTGATTTGTTCACATCCCATAGGTGGGGAAGTTAATTGAGCTGCTGGCTGGCAAGGCCGGTGTGTTGGATGGCCGGTTCCACTATGGCACTGCATTTGGAGGAAGTAAAGTGAAGGATGTGTGTGAAGACCTCGTTCGCCATGGTTATAACTACTTGGGGAAAGACTATGTTACATCTGGCATCACAGGGTAAGTGTGTAATTAAGCCATTTCAAAGAAAAAGAATGGTTTTATTAGGATAGGAGGTAAGATCCCTTAAGATACACTCCTTAAGTATACCTTAAGAAGTATACCTTAAGGTGTAAGCATTAAGGACTAAGGAGGAAAGCTTTATTTCTTTAAGACATCTGATACCAAAAAAATCCAAATTTAGAAAACTGACGAATTGAGGAGTGCCATTTATACTGGTAAGGCTATAATTTTTAAAGTAGAAAAGATGTAATTTACCAAAATGACTTTTGCCCTTCTTCTAAGTAACACATCAGTTATATATAATGCAAAGGTTTCCCTTATCTGTTGAACTCTCTGCATTCCTAGGATGACTATCAGATAGTTAATGCTTTCACAGATAGCCTGAGTCCTAAAATTTGTGCATTTTTTCACTAGAGATGTGTTAAGCACCTACCTAATATGTGCTAGGCACTGAGTATATACCAGTAAATATAGTAAACATGGTCCCTGACCTTTGGAGCTAACTATTTAGATGTGTTACTAGACATTAAAAAATAACAGACAAAAGGTTACTTCTCAGTGAGGCCTATCATGACTACCTAATTTAAAACTATAACCCAGTACTGCCCATTTCCTGCTTTATTTTTATCTGTAGCACTCCTCATTATCAAATATACTATATAATACTATTGTCTGTCTCCCCAGCTAGAATGTAACCTCCATGAGATCAAGGCTGGTTTGTTCTGTTTACTGTTCCGTTTCCAGTGCCTAGCACAGGGCCTGACACACAACAGGTGCTCCATAAATATTTGTTACCTGAAGGAATGCAGACAAATAAATTTAAGTACAAACAACTCTCACCAAAATGAAGACAAAGAATAAGTTAGAAGACCCCTGTGAGGAAGTGGATATTTAAGCTGAGCTATGAAGGATGAGAAGTTATGCCATTTGAAAAGTGTTTAATGCCAAGGAAAAGTATGTTTAATACCTTGCCAGGGAAAGAGGTGAGGAAGGTCAGGGAACCGGAAGAGGCAGACTTGGCTACGGTGTAGAGAAGAGGCCTTACTGGCAGGCTGGAAAAGGGGAAGAGCCAGGTCACCCAGGCAGAGCGTGGGATCTTCCTATTAACCTGGGAGAAACAAAGGTCCCTGGAATCATCATGAATGACAGGGTTTAGAAACTTGAATCGCACATGATTTAAAGGATCAAATCAGTTGCTTAAATTAAGGCACACTTACATATTTTATGCCAGGTGAAATTCTAGGACACAGTATTTGTACTCTTCTTCTGAGATTTTAAGCCACTTGAACACGAGTGAAGCTCAGCGTGTAAGCATGTGTGAGAACAGAGTTTTATTTTTTTTTATTTTTTTTTTTTTTTTGGACGAGGTTCTGGGGCCCCAAGAGCGGGGCCCCGGAAGTCGCCCCAGAGTTTTATTTTGGTGCTGCAAATAGACTCTCTAGATATGATTAAAATAGTTAAAATCTGTATCCTTTAAAAATATGAAGTGATTTTTAGAATGATTTATTCAGACTGTAGTAATGTGGATTTGTTTAGGTGTATCATACTTGAGATGTTATAGAAAATCGCAGTACAGGAAAAGACTAATGGTCCATTTAAAAAAATGCAGTTGTCATTACTAAATTGATCACCTTAGTCTTCCCTTCTCCACCCAGAAATAATGCAGATGTTGACTAGAAAGTGTGCAAAATCACAGGGGCAATTTGGTGGACCTTCCTGAACATAACTGTACTGAAAGATTGGATGGGTTATATCCTGCCTGCTATAGACAGTGGTAGTCTATGTCCCAGTCCACACGGCTTCCCCTAGGCCTGCCACCTCCAGCCATAGTTTTCATTTCTTTGTCATTTATTTCATTGGCAAAGGTTGAAAAGCACTGTTTGTTAGTTGAAAATTTCAGAGGGCCTGCAAACATATTTATCCACCAGCTTTCATCCCTTGTTCATTCTTGAGCATATCTAGGAGGAGAAATTGCCTATGACTTTATTCTGTTGCTGATGGAATAGCATTGGGTAACAGAGTTTCATAAATTTTGCCATGAGCAACCATACTACTGAGGAATAGAATCATTCGCCATTAGAGCTGGAAGGAACCTTGTTCTGACCACCTTGTACAACTAAGAATACTGAGAGAGGTCGTGCAGTTGCTATGTGACAGAAATGAGGCAAAAACAGGGTCTCTTAACACCCTCTCCACTGTGCCTTCCACTCCACTTTGTATTTTCCAAGAATCTGGTCATGTTTAAGCCAGCAGAATGGCTTGATAACTGCAAGAAAGCCTTTGCTAGTGATGCTGAGAGTGTGATCAGATATACTAAGCATGCAGGGGCCGTGTGTTTTTATTTGCCTCTCTGCTATGTCTGTTCCTTCCTTTGCTCTTTTCACTCTTTTGTGATACCATAGCCCTAAATTTACTTGTTTCAGGACTGGCCAGTGTGACAGGGAGAGCTCTGGATTTGAACTGCTGCTGCACCACTCACCAGCTCTCAGCTGACCTCTCAGGCCCTCTGTGCCTATTTCTTCATCTTCAAAACAGGGATGATAGTTCTCCCTCCCTGGATTATTATGTGGATTAAATGGCATATGGTAGGTGCTTCCTTTCCTTTAGGAAGGAAGTTCTGAAGCAGTTAAAAAAAATTTTTAAAGGCATCAATTCCCTGGTTGTTCTTGCTCCAGACTTAAGACAAAAGGTTTCTTCTGTCAAAGCACTTGTATATACACTGTCTTTTTAAACCCTTACTATAGTTTTTCTAAAGATTTATTGAATTGATTATGACATTTATTGAGCACCAGTTGTGTACCAGGCAGGGTCATAGGTGCTGGAGCCACAATTACAAAGGAGTCAAAGTGTTTATCCTTGCAGAGCTTACTTCTCATGGGGAAGACAGGAATAATCAGAGATGATAAATGTATACTATGATACCAGAAGGTGGTAAGGGTGCTAAAGGGTGAGGAGAGGGGAGGGCAATGCTGGGGGTGGTGAGGACTCCCTTAGATAAGGTGATCAGGGCAAGTGTGCAGAGGTAAAATATTTGACAGAGCCATGTGGAAGAAGGTTTCAGGCAATGGAAACTGTAAGCACAAAGGTCCTGAGGCAGAGACAGGCTTGCTACATTTGAGGAGCAATGAAGAGGCCAGTGTTACTGGAGTATAGTGAGTGATGGGAAAAGGGAATAGGAAATGAGTATGAGGTGGGTGGGAACCAAGTTATATCTGGCCATATGGCTGTGATACAAAACTTTGGCAATACAGATTCTGAGTGTGATAAGAAACATGGGGGAGTTTATAGCAGAGGAATGACATATTGTGATTTACATTTTAGAAAGAATCACCCTGGCTTATCATCTGAGGAATAGATTGTTGAGGATAAGAGTAGGAGCAGGGAGACCAATTAGAAGATCATTTGTGGTAGCCCAGGCAGGAAAGGATGGTGGCCTGACCAGGGTGGTAGCCATGAAGGAGGGATTATCCTATACATAACTGTTTCACTACCTGTTTAAATGCTTATTTCTTTATAAAACCACTTATCTTTTAATATATCTATGGTACTTTTATATTTTTAGATCTAGCCTTTTTATTCACTACAGACTGAAAATCATTTTTACCTAATCATTATAAATAAGGATCTGCCAGTGATGAGACCTAGAAAAGGCTGTCTCTCTTGTTAGTCCAAACGTAAGTTTCTTAACTCAAAACACACCTTTCTTTCAGTGAGCCTTTAGAGGCATACATCTATTTCGGCCCCGTGTACTATCAGAAACTGAAACACATGGTGCTGGATAAAATGCATGCCCGGGCCCGGGGCCCACGAGCCGTCCTTACCAGGTAAGAGAAGAGCATTTACAAAAAATACATAATGCAATCAAGTCTATCTGTATTTTCCAGATATAGCAAAATGCAGAGTCTAATAAAGTTTCTATTTTCCAGAGATGTCAAAATTTCGGGTGTTAGACATTAAGAAAAATCATTTATATGTGATTAATATGAAATATAGCAGCCAATCAAAAAGCAGCCAAATTTCACAGGCATAAGAGCAAACCTACTGTGGGTCTTGCCAGTGGACTCCTAACACAGCCATTTACTGTGTAAATCTTTGCAGATATGGTTCTATTCAGAAAGGTCCATATATAAGGTACATACATATATACCCACACACATACCAATATACCTGTGTGCACCCATGTGAACACATGTGTACATTATTTGGTAGCCCAAACCACAATTGTACTTTTTAAAACACTAATGTTATTGGAGCATAAGGTACCTGTACTTGCATGCTTATTTGAGTAAGCCCCAGTAGGGTAAGGTCTATGTGTGCCCTGATTACCAGTGTATCTTTTCTTAATTCCAAGCACGATGTCTGGGTGTTGATGAATGGGTAAATTGTTGGGAAGGGAATTAGAACTACTGAGTTTCACATGTTCTTAGTACTACTTTTTCCAGTTGGAGAAGCGTAGTCCATGGCAGTAGTTCTCAACAATTTTGCCTCCCAGAGGACATTTGACAACATCTGGAGACATTTTCAGATGTCCCAACTTGGGGGTGGGGGGGAGTTACTGGCATCTTGTGTGTGAAGGCCATGGATACTGCAAGTATGCCCCCCACAACAAAGAGTTGCCCAGTTCTGTATGTCAGTAGAGAAGAACCCTGGGCTAGGGGAGGGAACCCAGGCCTTAGAGCCAGATAGGCACGGATGCGATCTCATCTCCACGTTTTAACACTGTCACAAGCCTTGGACAGATCACTTCACTTCTCTCAGCTTCAGTTTTTCTCATATATAAAGTGGAGACGATAATACCTACTTCTCAGGGTGCTGGTGACCATCAAGGTTTGAACATAGAATGTATAGAGTGCCGATCCATAGGTGATGCCCAGTCAGTACCCGGTTCCCTCCCTACTTGCACCAAGCACTGCTTGGATGTAACAACACAGGAAGAGCAGGAGATGAAGCAGCTAGTATTGTTTAGGTTTTGTTTTTTTTAAACCAAGGGATGGGTGTAGATGACTCAATCCCTCGACCATCTAAAACTGAGCAAATGCACATGTCTATTGAAATGATAGACATATGTGGGCTTAAAATTGCAGCAGAGGGAAGAGAAGTTGAGATTCTTTTTTTTTTTTTTTTTTTTTTTTGAGACAGAGTCTCGCTTTGTTGCCCAGGCTAGAGTGAGTGCCGTGGCGTCAGCCTAGCTCACAGCAACCTCAAACTCCTGGGCTCGAGTGATCCTTCTGCCTCAGCCTCCCGGGTAGCTGGGACTACAGGCATGCGCCACCATGCCCGGCTAATTTTTTATATATATATCAGTTGGCCAATTAATTTCTTTCTATTTATAGTAGAGACGGGGTCTCGCTCTTGCTCAGGCTGGTTTCGAACTCCTGACCTTGAGCAATCCGCCCGCCTCGGCCTCCCAAGAAGAAGTTGAGATTCTTAACACAATAATTACCTCAGCAATGAGACCCTACTTGGGTTAGGTGTGTTTCTTCTCTAAATTCTGTCACCTCCTAAACTGCCATGTCAGTTACAACCTCCAAAAACTATTTCAGAGCAACATAAATGTCAAAGCAGTTATTGCCTATATTTTGCTTTGTTGTGCAGAAGAAGTTATTACTTTGGTATTACTCTGTGTCTTCCATATGAAGACTGCCTAGAGAGCATTGGTTTGTAGTCAGTCATCTCAGCTGGTTAAAATCTAAGCACTGGATTCTGACCACCTTCACCTTGCTCAGTGACCTCAGGTCGAGGAAGCACCTACCCGTGGGTGGTTCTGCCAGCAAATAAAAATGTATAGCTGTTGTGCTCAGTTATGAAGTTTCCACTATAATGTGTTCATTTAGACCTATTCATGAGTCTTTCATGCATAGATTTTCTTTCAACAAATAATCTACAACTTACTTGATCTCCTCTTACAATTTTCAACAACATTTTAAAAATATTAAAAATTTCGGCATGTGTTGGCATATGCTATGTTTACCTTCTTAATTCTTTGGGGGACTGGCAAAAACAACAAAGATAAAAAGATGCTGTGGAATAAAACAAACACGGGGCTTATGGTTCACCCTTACCCAAAGAGAACCTCTAGGAAGTAACCCTCCAAAATCAGCCAGCCAGGGAACTCGCTTTCTTTTCTTTCAAAATCATTTATGTGCTCAGTACCTAGGTGGGGTTCCCCGAGTTGTTCATAACTCCCTAATTTTACCTACATCTCTGGGTCCTAGATTCTTACCCTTTTAAAGTGTTCTCAAGCCCAGCATGTTCATAAACCACAGGGAATCCATTTCAGGCGTTAACAGCCCTGGAGCCCTGGCAGTAACTCCTGGGAGACCCAGATTTCTTCCATAATCTGTTCCTCTTAGCTTTTCTGCTTCTAAATAACAGAATACTGAGACATCTCTGAAAATATTCAAAGACATTGTTCCCTTATTTGAGAACTCTACTATCCTAATAATAATGATAGTGATGGTAATAGTGATGATAATAGTAATACTAGCACTTGTGTTTTATGTATTTACATATTAGTATGTTATTTCATCTTATATAATTATATATTATTTTCATTTAATAGCAACCACCAGTATTACATCTTTTCTCACTTGAGACTCTTTAGGATAGGTATGCTTATGTGTTTTTACAAATGAGGCTGAGGAGCATGCTCAAGGTCACTGTCTAATAAGTGATTTGGATCCAGGTAAGCCCTGCTCCAGAGCCTTGTGCTCTTTGCCAGCATGTGATGCCGTTGTTTGTTTGATGTAATAAAACACATTTGTCTAATAACCTATTTCAAAGGCAACCCACTGAAGGTCGATCTCGTGATGGTGGCTTGCGTCTTGGAGAAATGGAACGTGACTGTTTAATTGGTTATGGAGCCAGTATGCTTTTGCTAGAGAGACTAATGATTTCAAGTGATGCCTTTGAGGTTGATGTCTGTGGGCAGTGTGGACTTCTGGGGTATTCCGGCTGGTAAGTGGATTCCATATGTCTCATATCACACCCCTTGCCTCTTAAATCACAGCTCAAGAATTGACCCTGGATCATACCCACATATTCTCCAGTGTCTGTGATCATTAACGTGCCCTTCCCTGTGCGTGCATTCCTGTACCTGGGGATTCTGTTTGTACGTGTTTCATTTGTCTGCATAATCTGCTTTGTACACTACTAGAGTTTAAGCTCCCAGAGAATACAAACTTTATCTTATTCTTAATATTATTTCAGGAACCTTTTATATCACTGTATGCCTATTAAAAAAATCCTTGCAGATGCATCATTGGAAGTTAGAATCGCAGCATGTTAAAGAAACTCTTTTAAAAAGATTGTGTCGAATGCCGTCATTTATAACTTCAGACTCAAAAAGCCAGGGATGCTTACAGCAGCAAATTGGTGACTAAGGCAGGACCAAGTCTTGTACCCTGACCACTTGTCCTCTCTCTACCATGGCAGGCAGCTTCACATTTGGACTATAAATTCCTTGAGGGCATGGACTGTCTCAGTCTTTTATTCAACAACCATTTAATGAGTAGCTACTAATTGCCAGACACTGTTCTAGGCCCCAGAAATATAGCAGAGAACAAAACAGGTGATGGCTACTCAAGGGTGCTGATCTTCTAGTTCATTCTGATCACATCTGTTTTGTTTATCCCACTTCTCCAGACTGGGACCTGGTAGATGCTTTAAAAAAATATTTGCTGAATGAGACCCTGCATTTGTAAGGTTGCCAATAATAAAGTTTAACATTTCCATGTACAGTTCAATACACAAAGGCTAGCTTAAGAGATGATGTTATATATTTTTTTGTTTTTATTTATGTAGTCACAGCACCTTTCCTATTTGTAATGATTCCAGTCTATCACCAAAGAACAAAACCTCTGTTTTGGGTTAGTCATGATCTTAAGTCCCAGAATACTCCTATAATCAAGAGAGCCTATAGTTCTCTAATCTACTTACTTTTCTGTGAGAGGCAAGGTCTACGGCAGGTGCCATGGTACTGGGAAATAACAACCCCAAGCCCCACATCATCCCTCACCTACCCTCCCCAGAGCACCTTTTTCCTAGGGAGAGGCCATCTCCAGAAGGATATATTTAGATCCAAATAAGCATTCATTGCTGAGGTTTGAGGACTACATGGGCCACCTGTTTCCCACTGAGGCCCCCCTCAAAGCCTCCTTCCAGACAGAGTCCCAATTTCTTGCCATCCTGAGCTGCCAGTTTCTTGGTTGAATAAAGCCAATCAAGAGTCAGAACAAGTGGCTTCTTAGAACACAGTGTATATCTTGCTGGTTAAATGAAAAAACACTTTAGCCAATTATTTTATGATTTTTGGTGTAGAAGATTTGGTGAGTCCTGTCTGTGAAGAAATCATTTCATTTTAAAAACTAACAGAAGAGGTGGCCATTTACAGTTCATTCTTTTCATAAGATTGCAGAGATGGGGTGACATAATTCTAAGAATAAGCCTGGCTCTTTCTTACATCCAGGAGATGGGGGTTTGCTTCAGTGTTGAGATGTCTATTCATCTATTGGAATGCATATTGAGCTCGCTTATTATAGTCTGGCCTGAGGAAGGAAGGAAAAAAGGAAGGAAGGGAGGGAGGGAGGGAAGGAGGGAGAGAAAGATGCCTGGAACCTAGTTCTACTGTGCTTAAATCTTTAAATTTGGCACAAGGATTTTTAAGTAATTTATTTTGAAAGGATGGTACAGAAGAGTCATCGC